CCGCGGTCGTCTCCCCGATGGTCGCGGCGGTCTCGATGTCGGCGATGGCGGCGCTCTGAAGCACTGTTGTCGGGGCCGCTGCGGCTCTTGGAGTCACTGTCTTCCCGTCGACGATCACGGGTAGCTTGATGACGTCGGCGAGGTCCACGGGACGAGGAGGCACTGCTGCTTGACTCTCCCATGTCTTCTGCTGCGATGGGACTGATGCCAGTCTGCTGCCACTGAGCGGGTCCGACCTTATGCCAACGCGCCGTGAGGTCGTGGGTGCAGCTTGCTTCACGTACAGGAGCGGGGCGGGCGAGCACGCAACCTGCTGCTGCTGCACCACCAGAAAGAGCACGGCGTGCCCGACGCGCCACAGCGCAGAATATGGAATGCCCGCGGGCGCGGCCGCGCGGGACTTAGATATGGAGGGGCGTGGGCTGGCGCAGGGCCCGTGCAGTGGCGCCAAAGGCTGTTCGAAACTATGTGGGAGCCTACCCCGCGAAGGCGATGAAATGAATACCATTTTGGCCTTGAGCCAAAATGGCTACCCGTGATCGTCGACGGGAAGACAGTGACTCCAAGAGCCGCAGCGGCCCCGACAACAGTGCTTCAGAGCGCCGCCATCGCCGACATCGAGACCGCCGCGACCATCGGGGAGACGACCGCGGGGCTGACGACAAGGATCGGGAGCCAGACCGAGCGCATCGCAGGGAGGATCGGGAAGATAGAGAGCGCGGTTCAGGTGGACGCTCATCTCGGAGATCTGGACCTTCGGCAGCACGCAAGGACACGGTTGCCGAACGAGACCCTTGGCAAGCAGCCGCGGGTTCCATGCGACATGCTGGAGCTAGTGGGGGACCTGCTCGACCTCATGAGCCGCAACACTTCCCACTTTCACCGCGAGCTGCACAACAAGTGCTACGCGACATGGAGGTCTTGCCTACATTTCCTGACGGTGAACTACCTGCAGCGGGCACGCCTGTTGGTGGACTTCCTACCCCACGAGCTGAAGATGACCCTCCTGCTCATGGTGATCTGGCTAGTCTCGAACAAAGGCTGGCGACACTGGGTAAAGAACAGATTGCATCGGCGACGGCACAGCTCACAGCGACGGCGAACGCTCTTATTGCAAAGCAGCAGCAGGCCTTCACCGCGCAGGTGGCAGAATTCTTGGCAGTCAGCAAACAAAACGCCGCTCACCTCGAAGTACATGACAAGGGCATCCATGAGCTCCAGGCCCGAGCTGACAAAGTGGAAGCAGATCAGGCCAAGATGCGACAACAGATCAGCGCCATGGAACAGACGCTGGCAATGGCGGAGGCTGCCATCCCATGCGATGTTCAGAAGCTCGCCACATGGGACCGCACTCCAGACCCCACAGTCTTCAGCATCGGCGCCCCCAGGGCGATTGCACCAGCCGCCGTCAAGGCAGCGCTCGCGGAGTGGATTCAGGCGTCGGGTGTTCCAGTGGATCAGCTTGTTCTTCACGGTGATGTACCTCAGCGACGATTTCATTTGCAAGTTCAAGGTGGAGCAGCAGCGCATGGACGAGCCCTCGCTCTATCTCGTGCCCTCAAGACTTCAGCTGGCTTCCGCACCTTCAGCGGGTTCGACACTGGCGGGGTCAACACGCCCATCTATGTTAGCGGAGACAAGAGCCCCAAGCAGGTCAGACTCGAGCTTCAGACTAAGCGTTTGCAGCGCATCATTCAGGACGCCTACCACGATCACCACATCGGAGCCCAGAGAAGCAAGGGCATTGTCACCATCGATGCCGTGCCGCTCGTCATTGTCGAGGTCAAGGGCCCTGATGAACCGTCCAAGCTACGCTGGGACATGCCAATCCTCGCGCGGTTCAAGGTGGACAAACAACCTCTGGTGGCAGCATTTGGACAGGCATTCGCGAGCGTGGATACGTCTACGTGGTCTATTTAGCAGAAGGTGGTCGCCCTGGACAACATCACCGTCAATGCGCAATGGCACCATCATATCGTGGAATGCCAGGAGTCTGCTTTGCTATCGTTCAAGGCGCCGCAAAGCCAAGATGAACAAGCTTGTCTCGTTCATGCGTAAGAAAGCGGTTATCTTATTGCAGGAATGCCGTGGCACACTACCTAAATTGCAGGCGGCCCTCGCTACTTATCCATATCCTTACAAGATCTTCCACAATCACCTCTCGCAGAAGGCGGGAGGCACAGCATTCCTGGTTCCGCTGGCAGATCGTGATCAGGAGGACCCTCAGGTGCACTTTGACCATCAGATATTGGCCGAGGGAAGGGTGGCCCTTCTCACAATATACAACTCCGCTGACAACTTCACGATGAAGATCATGAACGTACACAACTTCGAGTTGGACATCGTTGCCCAGTCCAAGATTGCGCACACTTGGAAGGAAATGGTCCAATGGAATATTGAGAGCCCTGTTACTAGAGCGTTTGTGGCTGCTGGAGATTTCAATGTCAAATCAGGTCCCACGCGTAGCTACACCGATCCTGTTTCTCGGACATTTTCGCCAGGAACGCTGCCTGCTGAGACAGCCCGAGGCACTCAACCTTTGCAAGCGTTCTGGGAAAGACTCTTTGCGATGGTTACGGAGATCTCCACTGACTGCCCCACGCATTACTGCAGAGATACGTCCACGGCGGCTACACTGGATAGGTTCTTCATTGCCACCCCAGCGAACTACTTGCTCGACGTAGAGGTGATCGCGGAGGTGGATATTGATGCTGCCGCTATCTCGGACTCCAGGCTCAGCGACCACACACCGATCACCCTGCATCTTAGAGATCGAACCCGCCAGAGTGAGCAGACGGGCATACCTGAGCACGTATTTCGAGATCCTCGCTATGGTGAAATTCTTGGTCAGCTTCTTGATGCTGCACAACTACATCGATTTCCAGCGGTCTATCAGTGGAGATGCATGAAGGACTTCATGTCTGAGGCGGCACGCCAAGTCCGCAATGAGTTGCAGCGCATGCCGATCTCCGCCAAGGACCCTCGTGCCAAGGGGGGGCGCCTCATCACGCTCCGAGCTATTTCGCGATGTGTCTGGCGCAACGATGTGGGCACCGCCTACAAGCTGATGGCCACCACGGCCGACGGCGCGCGCTTCCTGGCCGTCTCCAACGGCTGCGTCGAGCTCGGCGAGCGGCAAGAGTTCGGCGCCCTGATGCGTGCCATCAACTTCGACTACCAGCAGAGGGAGGCCAGGCTTGCCGAAAGCAGAGCATCCAAGGGGGAGGGAGCGGTGATTGAGGATGAGAGACGAGCGGCGCGGATGCATAAGCGACGAGCGTCGTTGTGGGCCCCCAAGGCCCGTCGTCTCGTCCTTGCGGGGATAAAGCCCGAGAGCCTTCAGCACTCTCCAGTAGCCCGGGACCCCGAAAAGATCGCCGCCGCCCTGACCTCCCACTGGAAGCCCATCTTCGGTGCGAAACTAGTCCAGGAGGAGCCCCTTCAGGAGTATCTTGACCGAGTTGCCCCGCAGCGTCCCCTTCTACCTCTTAGACTTCCTACAGAAGGTGATTTAGGACGTGCTCTCAGATGTGCTCGACGTTCGGCCCCTGGACCCGACCAGCTTTCGTACACGGCCTGGAAAGCGCGCCCAGAACAATTAGCAGTGCTACACAATCTCATGACTTATCTGTTTGGAGGTCACGCAGTCCCCATGGAGCTTAACGACAGCCTCTTCGCGTTTCTCCCTAAAGGCTCGGAGCCCGAAGATGCCCAAGGATGTGTTCGATCACCTGCAAAGGTCCGCCCTCTTAGCCTCAGGAACACGGACACTAAGATAATGGCCTCTGCTGCTAACTTTCAGATCCGTCAGGTGGCCCAACAAAGCGCCCATGAGTCCCAACAAGGCTTCATCCCAGGCCGTAACTTCCTGTCGAATATCGTCATGCTGGATGTCGAGGCCCGTAAGGCGAGCATCAACCCAGAGGCTGCCCAGGACCTTCCGATCTTCGCCGCCTACGATGTGGAGGCGGCCTTCCCGTCCCTCGGCCATCAGTGGCTGTTCGAGATCCTGAGTAGGACTGGGCTCCCGACAGGCTTCCTCCATTTCATTCGTGCCCTCTACTTCCTCCCTAGAGGCTTCGCTCGGATCCAAAATCAAATCGTCTTTTTATTTCATCTTTGCTCTGGAGTTCTCCAGGGCTGCCCCTTGTCAGGCTCGCTGTGGGCCTTGGCAATGGATCCGATCCTTAGATGCCTACATGCTGCGACTCAGCTCCCGAGGGCGAGGCACCACAAGGGGTCTTTGGGTGGGTGTGCGGACGACGTGGGGATGGTGATGCCTCGCCTTCAGGACCTCGTCCCTGTGGCCAAAGTCTTTCAGGACGTCGAGCGTTTAGCGTGCCTCAGGCTTCAAGGAGCCAAATGCGTCCTGGTCCCCCTGTGGACCGAGTGCACGCCTGTAGTCCAGGACATGGTCCGAAACGAGATCCGTCGGTTGATTCCTGAATGGGCCAATTTTAAAATCGCTGGCCACACGACTTATCTTGGGGTCGAAATGGGTCCCGAGGCAATTCTCAGTATGATTTGGGCCCCAGCAGCGGAGAAGTGGTGGACGCGTACAGCTGCGCTACCACACTCAGGGGCTGCGCCGTCTGTTCTGTCATTGTTGTACAACACGACCGCCCTCTCGACCCTGTCATATCTTGCCCAGCTCTTTCCGATCCCTGCCATGATTCGTAAGCTAGAGCACCAGGCATTGCACAAGCTGCTCAGGCTCCCGCCCAACAGCCTCAGCCTCGCCGATCTGAATGCGCTCCCATCGTTTTTAGCCATTGCCCCGTCTTCTGTGCAGCTGCTCGGCTGGGCTAGTGCATGGCGAACGTCGTTTCGCACGCTGAATCATGTTTGGCAGAGAGCGTTGTCCAGCCTGAAGCAGCATGCGCAGGACAACGCTACCATCGTTCGCATTATTGCAGGAAAGTTCTCTGCGCCGTGCTGGCGGCGGCCATTTTCAATCGCCCAATTCTTAGAACGTTCAAGGCTGCCGCCTCCCCGCTTCCCTAGTGCAGCTGGGTGGCAAGCTGCATTTCGAGCAGCACGAGAGCACACCAAGCGCGCGGAGCAGGAAGCCCATCGCCCTCATCCGCAGAGGGTATTTACACGCACGCTCCGCCCATCCGGCTTAGGACGAGGAGGAGGAGGAGGAGGAGGAGGAGGAAGACGAGGAGGAGGGGGGGAGGAGGGGAGGAGGAGGAGGAGGAGGAGGGGAGGAGGAGGAGGAGGAGGAGGAGGAGGAGGAGGAGGAGGAGGAGGAGGAGGAGGAGGAGGGGGAAAAGGAGGAGGAGGAACTCTAGGCTTTCGGGCCGCAACTCGGGCCTCGTGCAGCCGATCGGGACAAGTCTGGCTGCCCTGGAACGCCCTCGGCGAGGCGCAGCTGCTGAAGAGCATCCCAAGGCGAGGAAACCTCAAAGAACCAGCAAAGCCACTGGACACTTGCGAAAACTTGCAAAATCTGGAAGCAAGAACACACACGCATTAAACAAACAACTTCCCCTCTCTTCCCTCCCCCCCTCTCCCCAGTGACGACCTTTGCGCCGAGAGGCCAGCGGAAACCGGTTGGTCGCAGCGGCGCGGATCCACGCCGCGGCCGAAGGCAGCCGAGGGACAACACTACGGGGCCTCAGTGGGCACAACAGGAAGGGAAAGAGCGCCGGCGCGGAGGAGAAGGACGAAGCGCGGGCCGGCAGAAACAGGCTGCAGGAGGCGGGAGCAGCTTCGGTCCCCCCCCCCCCGGAGGCAGCGGGAAGTCGGAGCCCCACTCCGGGAGCGCGTCGGCCAACAGGGCCCTCAGGTCCGCCACCTCCTGCGCGTACAAGGCGCGCAGCCGGGCCCGGTCCGCCTCCGGCAGCTCCTGCTCGTCGCGGGCGTGGGGGGGGGGGGCACCCCCTCCTCGATCCTCCACCCCCTCCTCGGTTCCCCATCCCTTCCTCCATGGGCAGCTCCTCCCTATCGCACCCCCCGACGTGTCAGCAGGGCGGGCCATGCGTTTCGCCTGAGACGTCTCCAACGTCTATGATCCGCAAGCTTGACAACTGCAAAGGCTTCACGCATGGCGGGGGCCGTTTTCAAGACGCTGCTCTCGCCTTAGCGCCGCGTACATTCGTCTTATAATTTCCAGCAACTTCACGGATGGAGGACGGGTGGTTTTCAAAATGTGGCTGTCGCCTCAATGCCGCGCACATCCGTCTTAAGAGCTTCCGACAGCTACGCGGATTTAAGGGGGTAGCGTTTTCACAATCAATGTTACTCTCACCTCAGCGCCGCACACCGTCGAAAAAGCTTGTGCCAGTTTCACAAGTGCAGGGGGGTCTTTGTCAAAATGTGGCTCCGGCCTGGGCGCCATTCGTCTTAAGCGTGCGCAGCAAGTGCAAGGATGTAAGGGGTGGTGTCGTTTTCAAAATGGTGTCCTCGCCTTAGCGCCGCGCGCATTCGTCTCAAAAGTTCCCACTAGCTTCACAGATCGAAGGCGGCTCATTTTCCAAAGTCGGGCTTTCGCCTGGGCGCCGCGAACCTGCGTCAAAAATCCTACAACAGCTTCAAGGTTGAGCGCTGGTCATTTTCAGAATGGGGCTCTCGCCTTAGCGCCGCGCGCATTCGTTCTGATTGAAACATTTAGCAAGATGTAAGACTGCTCTTTTTCGAATTGCAGTTCTCGCCTGAGACTTCGTCAAATCCCACCATCCCTTTAGAGCGCGAGTGGTCTAACAATGCCGTTTTGTTAACCCAAGTCTCACCATTCGGAGCGAGGAGACCTCCTCCCCCTCCCCCCTCCCCCACGGGTCTGGAACCCTCCCCCCGCGAGGTGTCAGAGGGTCCCTTTTGGGCCGAGACCCCAAGATGGCCTCCAAGATCGCTCAAGATATCCCAAGATGGTTCGAGAGACCCTCCAACATGCCTCCGAAAGCCCTCAAGACCATCCCAGGACAGCCTCAAATGACCTTCGAACATCCCAAGGAGGCCCCCAGGAGGCCAACATCTTTCAAAACCAATGTTTTCCTGTGTTGTGCCTTTTCGCTTCCGATGGGCTCTTGAGGCCTCAAGTTTGCTCGAACATGGCCAAACATGGCCCCGAGAGGGGCCCAGGAGGGCCCAAGACGGTCCCAAGAGCACCCAAGACCGCCCCAAGACCAGCCTAAGAGGACCCCGAGAGACGAGTTTTCTGACCCCGACGGGGGGACCCAGTTAGGGACTCCCCCCCTGTTTTGATCGATGGCCTTTACAATGGCCCCCAAAAGCCCCCCAAGGCCTCCAAGAGGGCCCCCAGAAAGCCGCAAGAGCGCCCCAAAGAGGGCCTCAAGAGGCCGCAAGAGGGCCGCAAGAGGCCGCAAGAATGGCCCCAAGAGGGCCCCACGATAGCCCCAAGAGGCCTTCAAGACGCTCCCAGAGCAAAAAAACGCAAACGGTCTTGATATTGCCTCTTGTCATCGTCGTCGTCGTCGTCGTCGTCGTCGTCGTCGTCGTCGTCGTTCTACAGGGGCCCAAATTAATGCATAAAGGTGGACAACGACAGGCAATCACCACCACGGTGGCCCCAGGGACGCGCGACGTATCACAGGCACCGCAGGCGATGACACGCAACCAGTCAACCAGGACAACCACGAGGAGCCTCCTCCTCATCCTTCGAAATATATGCTAAGACGGACGCGTTCACTGCCAGACCGCATGCTGCTACACATCACTGATCAGGACAACTCACCTGGTGTCCATGTGTGGACGGTCTGGTGGGGATAGAACTTCAAGACCCGATACTTCAACGCACGTGGCGCTACACTGATCCATGGCGGCTCTTGTTCAAAATGGTGATGCCACTTGAGACTTCCCCGAAGTTCATCACCACAAGTGTAAGCTTATGCTCAAATTTCACGGATGCTGTCTGATCTGGGCACCACGTTGAACTGTATCATTATTTCTCGCGTTATTTGCTGCGCGCCAGAAAGATGCAAGGCAATTCTTTGTCGGAGAAGGATCTTCACCAACATAATAGGCCCAATTGTGTTGGTTCTTGACGGGGGGCACTGTTTGCATTGAAGAGGAGGACTTGTAGGGGCGTGTGCGGGAGGGGACTTGGGACCGGAGGGTGTGTTGCAGCAGCGCATCTACGGCTTACTCTGATCCTCCTCCTCCTCCTCCTCCTCCTCCTCCTCCTCCTCCTTCTTTTCCTCCTCCTCCTCATCATCATCATCATCATGATCGACCATCCTCGGGCGAACGGACTCCTACCCATCCTTCGGTCCTCCGATGCTCGAAAGTCGAGGCCCTCGCTCCTCGAATTTCGCTCCTCGAGTCTGGATCCCTCGATCTCCTGGTCCCTCGACCCCTCGACCCTCGATACTCCCTCGACCCTCGATCTCCATCGACCCCTTCTTCCTTCGCGCCCATCTGGATCCCTCGATCTCCCTCGATCTCCTTCGATGCTCGAGAGTCGAGTCCCTCGGCCCCTCGACCCTCGGACGACTAGCTGCTCGCACACCCTCCGCTTCGGAGTGCCCACGGGTCCTCCGCGTACGGGCCGCGCACGTGTGACTCGGGCAACGGCGAGGCGCTGTCCCACCCGGACGCGTCCGGGTCCAGCCCGAGGAAGGCGCGAATTCGGCGCAGCTGCGGCAGCGGGGACCTCCAGGGTCGGGCGTCGTCCCAAACATGCTCGCGTCGTGAAACAAGTCACGACGTAAGGTTTTTGGCCGTCCTCGGCCTCTGGGAACCCTCGCAGGGACCCGGGACCGTCAAAAACCGACCCAGGATGAAAAGCCGGTCCTGCGGACTGGGTCGATACATATGGAGGTCTACTTATTAGACAAAACAAGACATCGCATGTCTGGGGCCAACTAGGATCGAACAAGAAAGGGAAGGCGCGGGAGATGAAAGCCTCATGCTCGAATCGCTGGCACCGAAGGGCCAACACTACGACCCACCCCAACAAGGGCGGCGACCAGCCCCAGGCCATACCGACGGTCGACGACGGTCGACCAGGGCATTGTGACGGACCCGGGGTGGCCCCAACCCCAACGGGAGCCCGTTGCATTCTGACGGACGACTGGGCCGTTCTGACGGTAGCGGAATTTACCCGAAACGTAGCCAGCCCCGTCTGCACGTGAGGCGAGCATTGAAGTTCACTTCCTACGCACAAGAGATATGCAGAACTCGGGAAGGCGTCGCGAAACAATGTCGGGCCACGCACTGCACCTGCGCAGCATAAAGCAACAACAAACATTACCCCAGTGCGACCCTACCGAGAAGTTGGAGCCCCTAGGAAAGCAGCATTAGCTGCTGTGATACGTTATGCTATGCTATGCCATGCTATGCTGCGCTATGCTATGCTATGCTATGATATGCTATGCTATGCTATGCTATGCTATGCTGTGCTGCGCTATGTTATGCTATGCTATGCTATGCTAAGCTGTGCTATGTAATGCTGCGCTGTGCTATGCTAAACTATGCTATGCTGTGCTATGATATGCTAGGTTGCGCTATGCTATATTATGCTATGCTATGCTATGCTAATATATGCTATGATATGTTATGCTGCGCTATGATATGTTATGCTATGATATGTTATGATATGCTATGCTATGCTGCGCTATGCTATACTATACTAATGCAGCACTGCGCTATGCTAAGCTAAGCTAAGCTAACCCTCGTGGCAGAGCCTAGAGGGTTAGCTGTGCTGTGCTATGCTGTACTGTGCTGTGCTGCGCTATGCTATGCTGTGTTATGCTATGCTGCGCTATGCTACGCTATGCTGGGCTATGCTATGATATGGTATGCTGCGCTATGCTATGCTACGCTATGATATGCTCTGCTGTGCTCTGCTATGCTAAAGCTGAGCGAAGTTAAGATGAAGGTAAGCTAAGCTAAGATAAGTCTGAGCTAAGATGAAGCTAAGCTAAGCTAAGATGAAATAAGCTAAGCTAATATTAGATACGCAACGCTAAGCTAAGGGGACGTAACTGGGGGAACCGCGGGGCGGAGGCCGGGGGAACCGCCCGGGGCGGGCAACACTGCCCCGCCCCTTTACGCATATAAAGTAAGAACCCTTCTAGGCAGAGCCTAGGTAGGGAATTACCTGGCGAAGGACCCAACCATATGCAGCTGTGAGCACCGCAGTCGTTAGTATGATCTTGGGTGGAGCTCCCGATGGGGCCACGACAGGTGTGAGTGGTGCGCCAGAATAGGTGTGGCGGACGCCTGTGGACGGTGCCACTGGGGCCTTGGGTGGAGCTCTCTATGGGGCCACGAAACGTGTGAGGAGTGTGCCAGAATAGGTGTGGCGGGCGCATGTGGACGGTACCACTGGGGCCTTCACTGGAGCTCCCTGCGGGGCCACGAAACGTGTGAGGGGTCTGCCGAAAAGGGTGTGGCGGGCGCATGTGAACGGTGCCTCGGGGGCCTTCGGTGGAGCTCCCTATGGGGCCACGAAAAGTGTGAGTGGTGTGCCAGAATAGCTGTGGCGGAAGCACGTGGACGGTGCCACTGGGGCCTTCGCTGGAGCTCCCTATGGGGCCGCAAAACGTGTGAGGAGTGTGAAGCCATGGGTGCGGCCGACGCATGCAGACGGTGGTACTGGGACCTTGGGTGGAGCGCCCTATGGGGCGACGAAACGTGTGAGTGGCGTGCCGAAATGAGGGTGGCGGACGCATGTGGACGGTGCCTCTGGGGCCTTGGGTGGAGCTCCCTATGGCACCACGAAACGTGTAAGGGGTCTGCCTGAAAGGGCGTGGCGGACGCATGTGGACGGTGCAACTGGGGCCTTCGCTGGAGCTCCCTATGGGGCCACGAAACGTGTGAGGGGTGTGTCGCAATGAGTGCGGCGGACGGTGCCAGTGGGGCCTTGGGTGGAGCTCCGTATGGGGCCACGAAACGCGTCAGGGGTGTGCAGCCATGAGAATGGCGGACGCGTGTGGACGGTGCCACTGGGGCCTTCGGTGGAGCTCCCTATGGCACCGCGAAACGTGTGAGGGGTCTGCCGAAAAGAGTGTGGCGGACGCTTATGGACGGTGCCACTGGGGCCTTCGCTGGAGCTCCCTGCGGGGCCACGAAACGTGTGGGCGGTGTGCCGAAATGGGTGTAGCGGACGCATGTGGACGGTGCCACTGGGGCCTTGGGTGGAGCTCCCTATGGGGCCACGAAACGTGCGAGGGGCGTGCCAGAATGGGTGTAGCGGACGCATGTGGACGGTGCCTCTGGGGCCTTGGGGGGAGCTCCCTATGGCACCACGAAACGTGTGAGGGGTGTGCCAGAATGGGTGTGGCGGACGCATGTGGACGGTGCCACTGGGGCCTTCGCTGGGGCTCCCTCTGGGGCCACGAAACGTGTGAGGGGTCTGCCGAAAAGGGTGTGGCGGACGCAAATGGACAGTGCCACTGAGGCCTTCGCTGGAGCTCTCTATAGGGCCACGAAACGTGTGAGGGGTGTGCAGCCATGGGTGGACGCATGTGGACGGTGCCTCTGGAGCCTTGGCTGGAGCTCCCTATGGGGCCACGAAACGTGTGAGGGGTCTGCCGAAATGGGTGTGGCGGACGCATATGGACGGTGCCTTCGGTGGAGCTCCCTATGGGGCCACGAAACGTGTGAGAGGTGTACCAGAATGGGTGTGGTGGACGCATGTGGACGGTGCCTCTGGGGCCTGGGGTGGAGGTCCCTATGGGGCCACGAATCGTGAGGGTTGTGCCGGAGAGGGTGTGGCCGACGCATGTGGACGGTGCAACTGAGGCCTTCGCTGGAGCTCCCTATGGGGCCACGAAGCGTGTGAGGGGTGTGCCGCCATGGGTGTAGCGGACGCGTGTGGACGGTACTTACCACTGGGGCCTTCACTGGAGCTCCCTATGGCACCACGAAAAATGTGAGGGGTCCGCCAAAATGAGGGTGGCGGACGCATGCGGACGGTGCCTCTGGGGCCTTGGGTGAAGCTCCCTATGGGGCCACGAAACGCGTCAGGGGTGTGCAGCCATGGGAATGGCGGACGCATGTGGACAGTGCCACTGGGGCCTTCGGTGGAGCTCCCTGCGGGGCCACGAAACGTGTGAGCGGTGTGCTGAAATTGGTGGCGGACGCATGTGGACGGTTCTACTGGAGCCTTGCGTTGAGCTTCGTATGGGCCATGAACCGTGTGAGCGGTGTGCCGAAATGAGGGTGGCGGACGCATGTGGACGGTGCCTCTGGGGCCTTGGGTGGAGCTCCCTATGGCACCACGAAACATGTGAGCGGTGTACCTGGATGGGTGTGGCGGACGCATGTGGACGGTGTTCATGGGGCCTTCGGTGGAGCTCCCTATGGGGCCACGAAGCGTGTGAGGGGTGTGCTGAAATTGGTGGCGGACGCATGTGGACGGTTCTACTGGAACCTTGCGTTGAGCTTCATATGGGCCATGAAACGTGTGAGTGGTGTGCCGACATGAAGGCGGCGGACCCATGTGGACGATGTCTCTGGGGCCTCGGGTGGAGCTCCCTATGGAACCACGAAACGTGTGAGCGGTGCGCCGACATGGGTGTGGCGGACGCATGTGGACGGTGCCATGGGTCACTGGGGCCTTGGGTGGAGCTCCCCATGGGGCCACGAAACGTGCGAACGGTGTGCCGAAATGAATGTGGTGGACGCATGTGCACGGTGCCTCTGGGGCCTTGGGTGGAGCTCCTATGGGGCCACGAAACGTGTGAGGGGTGTGCCAAAATGGGCGTGGCGAATGCATGTGGACGGTGCCTCTGAGGCCCTTTGGTGGGGCTCCCTTCGGGGCCACGAATCATGTGAAGGATGCGCCGAAATACGTGTGGAGGACGCATGTGGGCGGTGCCACTGGGGCCTTGGGTGGAGCTCCCTCTGGGGCCACGAAACGTGTGGGCGGTGTGCCGCAATAGGTGTGGCGGACGCATGTGGACGGTGTTCATGGGGCCTTCGGTGGAGCTCCCTATGGAGCCACGAAACGTGTGAAGGGTGCGCCAAGATGGGCGTAGCGGACGCATGTGGACGGTGCCTCAGGGGCCTTGGGTGGAGCTCCCTCTGGGGCCACGAAACGCGTCACGGGTGTGCAGCCATGGATGTGGCAGACGCATGTGGACGGTGCCTCTGGGGCCTTGGGTGGAGTTCCCTATGGGGCCACGAAACGTGTGAGGGGTTTGCTGGAAAGGGTGTGGCGGACGCATGTGGACGGTGCCACTGAGTGTTTCGGTGGAGCTCCCCATGGGACTACGAAAAGTGTGAAGGGTGTGGCGGAAATGATGACGATGATGATGATGACGATGACGATGATGATGATGATGATGAGGATGATGAGGATGATGAGGATGATGATGTGGAGGAGGTAGGAAGGCAGCGAGAGGACGGGTGAGGTTGCGGGCGTTGTCTCTTCAAAACGAGGACCAACACGCGAAACGTGCGAGGGAAGTGCCGACATGTGTGGCGGGGCACGCAACACGAACGAAAACGATAGGTGTGAACACGGGAGACCGAGCGCGGGTGAGATTGAGCGCGAGCGCGTCTGATTGTGATTGAATCTGCGCGCGAATAACTCTACGTACATGAATGCGAGCATGGACACGCCTAATGTAAAGGCTGATGGCTGCGAATGGTTTAAGTATGCCTGATTCCGAATACTCGTGACACTGAGCATGGCCGCCGCAGGGAGCTCCCCTAGAAACCCCGATGGCAACGCCTGCGCGCTGCGACGCCCATGTCCGCACGCCCCTCACGAGGATCGCGCCCTCTTCGTTTTCTTTTTCCCGGAAGGGGCGTGGGCCCAGGGTTCTCTTTTCCTATGTAAACATGTCCCCGGTGCCCAACTTGAAGGAGGCCGGCGGATTCTTTCCCTGATAAATATCGAGGTCGAAGGAGGCCGGCGGATTAAAATTTGAGGATGTCTCTGGCGAAACGCTTGTTTTTGAAATCCCGATCGATAAATCACAGGGTGCGGGACACCTCAGCACGACCACACCCCCAGCATGACCACACCCCAGCACGACCACGCCCAGCACGACCACGCCCCAGCACGACCACACCCCAGCACGACCACACCCCAGCACGACCACACCCCAGCACGACCACACCCCAGCACGACCACACCCCAGCACCAGCACGACCACACCCCAGCACGACCCGATCGATAAATCACAGGGTGCGGACCACCCCAGCACGACCACACCCCAGCACGACCCCACCCCAGCACGACCCCACCCCAGCACGACCACGCCCCAGCACGACCACACCCCAGCACGACCACACCCCAGCACGACCACACCCCAGCACGACCCCACCCCAGCACGACCCCACCCTAGCACGACCACACCCCAGCACGACCACACCCCAGAACGACCACACCCCAGCACGACCCCACCCAAGCACGACCCCACCCCAGCACGACCACACCCCAGCACCACACCCCAGCACGACCACACCCCAGCAGGACCCCACCCAGCACGACCACACCCCAGCACGACCACGCCCCAGCACGACCACGCCCCAGCACGACCACGCCCCAGCACGACCACGCCCCAGCACGACCCCCCCCAGCACGACCACCCCCCAGCACGACCACCCCCCAGCACGACCACACCCCAGCACGACCACTCCCCAGCACGACCACACCGCCTTGGTTGAGTGGTTGCCTGTCGTCGTGGAATGTTTCGTGGGGTGTCTCGTGGAATGTTTCGCGGGGTGTCTCGTGGAATGTTTCGTGAGGTGTCTCGTGGAATGTTTCGTGAGGTGTCTCGTGGGATGTTTCGTGAAGTGTCTCGTGGGATGTTTCGTGAGGTGTTGCCCAGTTGGGTATCGTGAAAACGTGTCCATGCTCCACATGTCTATATCCCTTTCCGGGTTCGTGGGTCCCATCATGTTTTTCTCCCTCTTTACCCCTGCACTCCAAGGTCCAAGGCTGCAAACGCAGCGCAGCGCGGAGTCCCCGCGACGCGCGCCGGTCGCCCCTGAGAGGTCCCAGCGACGCGCGCGGGTCGTCCGCTGCGCGGAGCAAAGAGAGCTAGCTGGCTAGCTGATAGCGGGTCAGGCTCTGGCCGCTGTGCAGAACGACGACGGGCGAGCGAAGCACTGGGAGGAGCGCAGCACAGAGTTCTGGCGACGCGTGGTCTTTCGGTGGCGTTCCCTATAATCCCACGGAACGCTGTGCTGGACGTGGCGGACGCATGTGGCCATCCCCCACTGGGGCATTAGGTGGAACTCCCTGTGGGGCTACGAAGCGCTGCACTAGGTGTGGCGGACGCATGTGATCACACCCACTGGGGCCTTGGGTGGAGCTCCCCATGGGATCACGAAACGCTGCACAGGGCGTGGCGGACGCATGCGGCCACCCCCACTGGGCTTTCGGCGAAGCTCCCTACAGGGCCACGAAACGCTGTACTGAATGTGGCGGACGCGTGTGGCCACCCCCACTGGGGCCTTAGGTTGAGCTCCCTATGGGGCCACGAAGCGCTGCACTGGGTGTGGCGGACGCACGTGGCCACCCCAACTGGGGCCTCACGTGGAGCTCCCTATGGAACCACGAAACGCTGTACTGGGTGTGGCGGACGCATGTGGTCACACCCACTGGGGCCTTGGGTGGAACTCCCTATGGGGCCACGAAACGCCTTACTGGTTGTGGCGGACGCATGCGGGCACCCCCGCTGATGATGGCCATGACGGTGACGATGACGATGACGATGACGATGACGATGGCGATGATGATGATGATGATGATGAGGAGGAGGAGGAGGAGGAGGAGGGGGAGGAAGAGGAGGAGGAGGAGGATGCTGATGATGGAAATGAAGATGATGGTGGTGGTGATGATGAGGATGCTGATGATGATGACGACGATGATGATGATGATGATGATGATGATGATGGGAGGAGGGAGGAGGGGGAGGAAGAAGGAGTGGGGAACGCGGGGCGCTGTCTCGTCAAAACGAGGACCCAACACCACAGGAGGGTTGGGAAAAAGGAGGAGGAGGAAGAGGAGGAGGAGGAGGAAGGACGAGGGGGAAGGACAAGGAGGATGGAGAACGAAGAGGCAGAAATACTGTCGATGGTAACAGCGGCAAGAGGGGAGGAGGGGAAGGAGGAGAGATGAGAAGGAGACGCGGGGACTTTCTCTTCAAAACGAGGACCCAGCACCACAGGATGGTTGACAAAAGACATCACTGGAAACAAAGATCATCAAAGACGGATGAAGAAACAAAAACAATCGGAAACAGAAAATCCGATGCAGGTGGCAGGGGATTTGACTAAGGCGTGGCTGAGCTTACCCAGGTCGCGCACCTGCATGCGTGCTGGTGGCAAGGCCCTGCAAGTCAAAACAATCGCTACGCACGCCTGTGCCAGTTTACGCACAGAGCAGACATGACAGACAAGGGAAGACATTGCAAAGAGATGCAGCGCGCGGAAAGCAAACGGTGACGAGCCACCAGCAGATCGTCCCACACATTTCTCTAGAGTCCTACTCTGACTCTGAATGATCCGAGCACGCTCGCCGAGATCGGGGCGTCTGCCCATCCCACGGACAAGTACGCCGCCTACCGCTTCCAACGGGCGGGCAATACCGACAAGCATGTTGACAACAAAAAAAAGAGGGTGTCTGGGAGCACCTCGACTATGAGGTAGCCCCAATACAAAATGACTACATACGAGGATGCAGTCGCTGGCCTGGCTTTTGCCGCATGATCTCGATGGCCATCTCACAAGCGGCCCTCAGCATAACAGCAAATACTTCGAGACCGAAGTCCAGAAATTGGCAGGCAGTCCACACTTCTGTGTAATCGAAATCCTTTGACGAGAAAACTCTGGGCACGCAGCCCACGCGCGTCTCAATGTAGGCCAGTCCGTGCGACAGAAGATACATGTCTCGCCAGACTGCCTCCTCGTCTCTGAGGCCACACCACCAGAAAGATATATGCCAAGCAACTTCCTATGATAAGAATACTAGTAAATAAATGAATAAATATAAATATAAATATATAAAAAGAAAAAACTCCGAGATCTCGTCTGCATCCTGTCTGCCTTTGTTCACTTGGTGAAAGCAACGCACCCTCGCGATCGCTCGCAGTCCGCGTTCAAGTCGGCCCCGGCATCGTTCTTGGCCAGGGCGTCTCGTCCAGAAACGGTAAGTACCAGGCCAGACACTCCAACGCACTGCATCAATAACTCCACGGTCACCATCGGGCCGCACCACTAAGAGGCAGCCCTGCTGCGACGAAAACACCGCGAAGATCAGTCCATGTTCTTCTGCGTGCGCGGCCACTGGTACTTCCGCAAACTGTGACCATGCAATAGTATCATGATACGCCGTCGTCAATGCAAATGACGCCCCCCTACTGAGGGTGCAAGTGGACCCTCTGCGCCCACCATCTGCGTCGACACCACCACTTCGACGTAGACCGCATCACCGCCTTGCGCAGCAGCGTCGAGACGTTCGCAGGAACCGGCGCCAGCACCGGCGAGGCCCAATGCCACAACGGTCTGACATAGCTGACAGCCAATATTCCTCTCACGTCGGCCCCCCCCAGGAATGCTTCCTAAGGTCTCGACTGCCCGGCATGCCTTCTCCCACCCCGCGCGGGGCAAGATCGGATAATCTCAGTCAGCGGGTCTCGCTCGAACTCCTAGATGTTCCACCACGGCGGGTGGGTCATCTTCTCTGGTCCAGACCTGTCCCTTTGCTTGATTCTCAACAAATCCACAATCTCGGTCGAAGGTCATTGTCATGTCAAGGTCTTCCTGCAGCTACCCCCTCGCCACACTTCCCAGGCCCCCATCATCCATGCGCGCTTGTCCTGAGAAAGGCCTCCCAGGAGTCAAAGTACATATCATTGCTGCTGGAGCAATCGAGTCACCCTGCGGCAACCCACGTTGAGGTACAATTGTGGCAGCATATTCAGCACCCGCACTAAGATACCGTGGTCCAGTCCAAGCGGCCAGAGCCGCGTGCACCACCATATCGGCGTTACCAGTAGCCCGCAGCCCAGCCTCACCGACTTCATGACTGATGTAGTCACGCGCAAGGGACAGATCAAGCTCCGAGCCAGCATCCGCCTGCGCACAGTCTGCAAGCCATTGGGAGATTGCATGGACCACGCTGACTCCCTTCTTGCCCGCCCATTGCGCATCTCACGGTCGTGGCAAGGCCTTCGCCAAAGCACTGAACCAACACCGAATCACGATAGAACCTACAGAAAGCGGACTCAAGCCCGACTCTTTTTTTGGTATGCCTACCACCCTCCATGGAAATATCTGCGACGGTACCTCTGGTGGAAAACGCCCTCGTAGCTGCACCGCATACTGGGAGGTCAATACCCATACCTCGTGCAACTCTTTGAGAAGATGTGGAAATACTTCCTTTGTGATCTCCAACTCCTGAGCTTCCCAGCCATCAAAGCCTGCTTTTCCCGACGCCTTGTCAATGACCTCCTCGAAAGACTCCAGACTCGGCATCTAGTCGTTCGCTTGACAAGACTGCGGAAATTGCACTCGCGCTGCATGGCGCTTCCACTTCTGAAGATGCTCTCGGGCAGACTCAGGATCATTGGGACACCACTGGGCCTCCAAAGTCTCTCTCCTATCTTTTGGTCCAAAGGGCGCCGCTGGCGCCGCCGCTCTGAACAATTGCGTCATCAATCTTCACAGATCCGCACTCCAAACGCTTCTTCCACTTCGACGTCTTCTGCTTCGCAATCTCGATGTTCTCCGCTGCAATGCAAGTCGAGATCATACCCAGCGCATCCGCATACGCAGGGACCACTTCCCCTCGGCACGGGAACAGGTCATCCACCACTGCTTGTGCAAGACACTTCAGGTCCCGCCCACCCAACACATCATGGAGGCACGGTGGCTGCGCCCCCCTGACTTCACGAAGAAAACGACGATGCAACCTCAGGAGACGTCGCAACTTGACGGCCTGGACGACGCGGTGGATGGCCCCCGAGCCCGCCGGCCTGAAAGTGTGAAGAGACCCTTTCTTCCTCTCAGGCTGGCGGTCCACCGCGACAAAATCATGCCCCGCTGCAATCTGAAGTGCTCCTTCAGCTCTCTGATGCCACAACTTCCACCTGCTCACGGCCGCCGCTGCCGTCATCCCCAGGTCACATTGCGGTGGTATACGTTGGTCAACTTCACTTCGTAGCTCCTCTCGGACTTCGTCTGGAGGCATACGCTCAAGAACATACCTTGCAGTGTGATGTAGCCGTGCCGTCTTTCGAGCATACACTGGCACTTGGGCCGAATGCCTGACCAGTCCATGACGTGGAATGCCAGGGAGTAACTTTGCACCCTCACACGAAGGCGCGATACAGTCCAACGGCCCGAAGACTCAACGCCTCGAATGCGTCGCCCCACGGCCGTAGTTGGCATGCTTTGAGAAGCAAACTGAAAGCCTGGTCCGAACTGAGTGCGATACACCACCTTCCAATTCAGGTCACCAGAGAAGAAAACTGGGCGACCGTCAACTCCTAAGCTCTGCAGGCACGTCGCCAATGACGCCCTCCATCAAGAGTCCGGCTGCGCAGGCGCATAAACAGACACATCGGTGGCCCATGATGTTCGTAGTACAACCTATCTGCGTCCAAAGAGCTTGTCTCTCACCACCGATGCGCGCCCAAGCCTCGGACTCCAAAATATTGCCGCAGACCCGTGCGCCACTGAATGAATCCCTGCTCGTGGCGGGGGGGTCGAGCAGGCAACCGCCCACCCAGGTTTCTTCGCCTCCTGAATGATCCACCTCGGCTTCTCATGCATCTGGCGTATTTCCTACACGGCAATGACCCCCACTTCGTTATCCTTCAGCGCGTTGGCCAAAATCTCATGCAAGCGTGCGTCGTTGAGGGATGCAACACTGATTCTCAACATCTTGGCCGATCCTGAAATACAACGGCCGTCCACTTGACTCATCCTCCTCCTGGTCAGGACCCTGCCGGTCTTGCTGCGACTCTCGAGGAGCACCACCACCCAGCAGAGCGTTACGTATGAAGCACTCTACAGAAGATGGAACTTTCGACAGAAACTGCATCCGTATTCTTTGCGAACAATTCGACTGAAACTGCACCAATACTTGAAACGAAACTTCGAGGCCGCGAGCCCGAGGCGCTCCCTCGCGCGGGGGCTTCCTCGAGACTCAGTCCAGCTATACGCGACGACTTGATGCCTGAGGCGCCCCCTCGCGCGGGGGCTTACTCAGGACTCAGCGTTCTGACCAGACCAGCTTGACATGGCAACTTCGTGTCTGAGGTGCCCCCTCCCATGGGGGCTTCCTCAGGACATAGCGCCCTGACCAAGCATAGAAATGCAACTTCAATACTCCTGCCACGGCCATCGTACGTGAAACAGCCCACAAAAACTGCAACTTGCGCGCCTAGTCAATGAGGTCGCACTGCATAAAAGGAAAGGCGCCCCGACGGCTTCCGGAGCACCCCCCTCTATTTTCCTTCCATTGCGACCAAACATTCTCACCCGAGACAAGCTGTTCGCACGCCTGCGTCTCCACATCACTTTATAGACCTGCTGCGCGGTGAGAATGGCCCGTCGGCTTCTCCACGCACAATGTTTGAACTTGACAGGCATATTCTGATTCCCACACCGTGAGCATGTGCAATACGCATTGTGTACTCTTGCAAGCTGTCCCCGCCGATGGCAACCAACCTCACGACGGGCACTTCAAGCGCACGCCTGCTGTAGCGTCCACCGGCACAGCCACATGCCCAACTTCCATTCCTTCTTCATCGACACCGAACATGCCCACCCCATCCCCATCCTCCAGCACCTTCCTCCTCGCACACGTTGTCCGAGCCGCCGTTGTAGACCTGGGCGTCTTGGCCGTCTTCGGGGAAACCCCTGAGAGCGACCTTGCCCGCCTAAGCATAAGAGCCAGCGAAGGCGCCGCCTCTGAGCATGAGGAACAAGGCCCAAACAGGCTGCGTGCATCCTCCTCCGTCATTTGCGTTGTGCTTCTCGTTGGTGTAGCTGTTGTACTCTTTGCCAGTGTGGTTGCTGGTGTGTTTCGACCTGTAAAACGTCTGGATAAGGTAATGCATCCTCTCGCCACTGCTTCAAGTGCGTCATTGAACCCAGGCTTTGGCGTAAGCAACGCGTAGTGCTTGTCCTTCAGCGCGAGCCAGACCTTCTTGCGACACTTCTGTGGCGATGTGCACAAGACCCATCTGCCCGTAGTTGCATCATTCGCAGTGCACTTCCAAGTACAAATATCTGCTTTCGAACCGAAGGCCGTTGCACGCACACACATAGTATCTGCCAACTTCCCAGCCGCACCGATCCTGTCGACATCCGTCTGGGTGGCCCCGTACTTCTTCAGGTTCGCCATAATCTCCGCTGCTGCCAGGAGTCGTAGTCCACGTTGAACTTTGCCTCCGGGCGCCTTGTCAGCCTTTGAGAGCACCTTCGGCTTCGCTTGGATATCATCCAGCCCGACTCCGCATGCAATTCAAATAGCAATCTCCATCGCCTCCGAAATCCCGCTGTTCCATATACAGCTGCCATGGCGCCTGTGGCGGTGCTCTGGGTACTTTGGGTATTGGTTATTCTCCTCCTGCCGCTGGACGTCGCTGTGACGCAGCAGCTTCTTGGACTGGTTGGTCATCGTCTGGAGGCCCTGCTTTGGGCGCAGGATGTGTGGGCTCTGCTGCTGGCGTCGGCGACACTTCCTCGCCCTCTGAGGCTTGCCGCCACTGTGGAGCTGCAACTCCCCACGCGCTCTGAGCTGTCGCCCCCTTCTTTTTGTTGTCTTTGTTGGCCCCGAAGGCGAGGCTGACAATCGCACCTGAGGCAAAGTTGTTGCGTCTGGTCACTGTGAGCTCTCGCTGCGGCGAGGTGTCCACGAAAGAACCAGGCACGCCCCCCCCGTCCTCGTTACTGCCGCAACGTTGAGGAAGTCACGCTGTGTTGCCCACGCTGATACCTCTTCGGGCTGTATCCAATGCGGTGGTGCCCTCTGCAAATACCATCGTGGCAGAAGATCAAGGCCCTCAATGGCCTTGTCACTTTGCACTCCCAAGGGTGCGTCATCATGACTGGGTCTATAGAGCAACCTCCCTTTGACTTGTTCACGAACCTTGGATACTCGAGACCAGTAGTCCGCGAGCTCCTCCTCCTCACGGTGTTTGAACCACCTCGGCATCAATGAACTCTTCTGAAAGTGGACAGACAAAGTCTCCAGCTGGTAATTCAAAACTCAGAATGGCCTAAGACCCCGTTGTCTTCACAATTAGCAACATCGTGATATCCGGGACATAATTGATGGCCCCTTTCGTACGAATATCATGCTTCGTCAATTCAGCATTCATCACCAGTCCTGGTAATGATGCTGGCTTCTGCGCAGCCCGAGCAAATATGTCATCAGCACAGAGAGCTTTGGCACAAGTCATCCTCAATACCGTCGTCGCCGTCTTGATTGGCTCGGTATCTGGCATATCATCATACACTCCGTCTGGAAGTCCAACCCTCCGTGGGGCCTTCTCTGCAATGTAGTGCAACATGCATGCCGTCGGCTTCGATCCCGTATAAGTAATGACAAGGACCTCCGCCTGCGTAGCGCCCTCATGGAGCAGCGTGTCCGTGGTCTCGAACACCAGGAGAGTAGCCGACTCGCCGCAAGTAGCTGCAAGCCACTGTCTCGCCGTCCTGTAATCCTGCACCGTAGCGCACACAATCACAAGCGGCAAATCATATGCACGATCCGAAAGTGATGGCGCCACCCATATCGTCGTCGTCGCACCCCACCCCGACTGTATGAGTCTGGGCGTCGCCTTCTTTGATGCAGTATTAATCCTCACCGTAGGCGAGGCACTCGTAGTATTATCGTGTTCAGCAGCACCGCACAATACTCGTAACTGTCTTGTTGTCGTTGCCGCCCAACTTGGTCGGCGGCAACTCCACGATCCTGGATGACAGTCCTCCCCCCCGACTTTGTAGCAGCACAAAGTTGGTTGACTGTCATCGTCAGCTGTTGAATTTGTTCGGCCATGACCTCAACCTGCCGACCTCGTCCACGCTGAGCCCTCTGGCCTCCTCTTCCTCCCTTGGCTCCCCCACCAAGGAAATGATCATCTTCCAAAACTTCGGCCTCGAACATCAGCTCGGTAGCCTCTTCCGTGATGCAATCGTGGAAAAACGATTTCATCTTGGAACTGGTAGTACTTCTGATCGATCAGATCGAAGTGCTCGTCGCAGTATTCTGCCCCAGCACGAGGAGCTGGCCCGTCACCACCACGACGGAGGTATACTTCATCGGTGACCATGTTGACAACAACTGTGGAGGAACTCCATCCATCTCGACGAGCATGCTCTCTGGAGCAGAGTGCGCAATCAAACGGACGCCGCACATGCACTGCGTCGCGCTCACCGGAGAAGGGTGCCCACGGGACCAGAAACCGGTGGACATCGCGGAGGTACTGGCCATTGCCACGAGCAAAAAGGATAAATGTCGCAAAGGGGGAGGGGGCCGCGGCGTGGAGAGGGAGGAGGGGTCCAGGATAACAAGAGGGAGAGAGAGAGCCCTCCTCATCCTCATCATCCTCGTCTTCTTCTGCTGCTTCACTACCTCCCCACCGTCATCATCATCATCATCATCATCATCATCATCATCACCACCACCATCATCATCATCACAACCACCACCACCACCACCATCATCATCATCATCATCATCATCATCACCATCACCATGACCATCATCATCATCAGCATCATCATCATCAGCGTCATCAGAATCATCATCAACATCGCCAGCATCATCATCACCATTAACAACATAATCAGCATGATCATCATCACTGTCATCATCATCATCATCATCATCATCATCATCATCATCACTGTCTGTCACCATCGTCATAGTCATCATCATCATCACCATCATCATCAGCAGCAGCATCATCGTCATCATTATCATCATCAGCCTCATCACCATCATCATCGTCATCATCCTCACCACCACCACCATCATCATCATAGTCATCGTAATCATCATCCTCAGCATCATCATCATCATCATCATCATCAGCATCATCATCATCATCATCATATTAATCATCACCACCACACCCCAACACCACCACCGCCATAAGCAGCATCATCACCACCAGCAGCATCATCGGAATCAGCATAATCGTCATCAGTATTATCAGCAGCGACAGCATGAGCATTAACATCAATACCATCGTTGCTATCATCAGCATGGTTATCATCATCAGCAGCAGCAGCATCATCATCATTATCATCATCAGCATCATCATCAGCATCATCCTTGTCTCTGACCATCGCCTTTGTCATCATCATCAGGGGCGTCATCATCGTCATCATCATTATCAGCATCATCACCATCATCATCGTCATCATCCTTACCACCACCACCTCCACCATCAGCATCCTCATCATCATAAGCATCATCTGCATCGTCATCATCATCATCAGCATCATCATCGTCGGCAGCAGCATCATCAACACCATCATAAGTTTTCATCAGCTTTCATCAGCATCATCAGCATCAGCAGCAGCATTAGAATCGTCATCATCGTCGTCATCATTATCAGCATCATCATCATCGGCAGCGGCATCATCATCGTCTTCATCATCAGCAGCATTATTATCATTATCCGCATCATCATCAGCAGCATCAGCATCAGCATAAGCATCATCATCAGCATCATCATCATCCTCATCATCTTTATCATTATCTTCATCATCGTCACCATCAGTATCGTCATCCTTGTCATCGGCAGCATCAGCATTCATGAATCAGCCCTCACACGGAAACCCAGCTCAGCACGAGCCTCCAGAGAGCGCCACCCCGACGAGACGACGAGCAGATGGACGGTCCGAATTGCTCCCTCAGCAGGCTGTTGTGTTCGGTGGGGCCCGATGTCCCTTGAGGAGGGCATCGCTGGGCAGATATCGCGCAAGCCGTTCGTGGAGCGCCCCTGCTAGGGAGCCACACGATTAGAGAGGTGGCTGGAATCATGCGTTATCGGTCGGTTGGCATTGCAGGTGTTCCTCTACCTTCTGGAAGGAACATCAGCCCTGTGTACCCATGCGAACAAGGTGGCATTCAACACAGTGAGGCTGTCGCCGCACGCGATGGCTTACGCAGGCCGCCAACGCGGTACGCAGCGTCGGGCGCATACGGGCGGCCTTGCGCGGGAAGCTAACACGCAGGCATCCGCACAATCGGCTCCCTTTCTCTTACCTTCCCTTCCACTGAACTACTGCTCCTTCCTCCTCCGCCCCGAATCCAGTCCAGACCAGTCCGTGCATCCTCCTCCCTCCATGAGCTCGCCATTCGATTACGCTGCAGTCCACTCGCGTCTCGCGCGCCAGAGGCGGGCTCCAGGCCTCCGCGCCCGCCCCGCCTGTTCCCCCTGAGGGCCCCAGGGGCAGCTCACCAGAAAGGGGGGGAGAGGCTTCGGCGCAGCACGCCCCTTCTCAGGGTCGGGGAAGGGGGGGGGGGCCGGCCCTGGAGAGGACGAGGAGGAGGGAAAGACCGCCGAAGGGGGGAGGGAGAAGGGGAGGAGGGAGGAGGCAGGGGGCAGGAGCTCGAAGAAGAAGAAGAAGGGAGAAGGAGAAGGGCGCAGGAGGTAGGCTGCAGCGAGGAGGAAGCAAGGAGGCTGGAGGAGGAGGAAGAGGAGGAGGAGGAGCAGGAGGAGCAGGAGGAGGAGGGGGGGAGGGAGAAGGACGAGGCGGATTTTGATCAGGGAGCGAGCGAGGGAGGGCGTGAAGGCAGGAGATCTGGACAACCTCTTCCTCCCGTCCTCCCCCCTCCACCGTCTGCGCAAGACCGCGGGGGGGAGGAGCGGCGGCGGGCGGCGGCGGGCTGGGGCGGCGGGTCATCGCTCCAGGGGACCTGCGGTAGCGCTCCGAGACCACCGCCAGCAGCTGCCCTCGGGGGAACAGGTCCAGCAGGCGCCGCAGCTGCGAGCCGTACAGCCCGCGCGCGAAGGCGTCGGACCGCGAGGGTGCCCTGTCTGCGCGGGCCTCGTCGGCGAGTAGTTCGCGCTTATCGAGGACGAAAAGATGGTATACGCACAAACTTTCGCAGGTGGGCGCGGATTTCTCGGAGAGGGGCTGGACCCCCCCCCTCTCTCCCTGGCGCGCTCCTCGCGCCACGCCAGGGGGGCCTCAGCGGAGACCCGAGAAACCCGCGCGGAGCTCCGAAAGTGTACGCAGGTTCATGCAGCGTTTTCGTCCTCGAGCTTCAGGCGCTCGTGCATGCTGCCCACGGGCCTGCCCTTGGCCAGGTCGTGGTTGTGCTCTCGGGGAGGAGCAACAGGGGCGCCACTCCGCCGAGGTGAAAGCACACCGATGCTATTGCTTCGACGAAGTCGACGCGATTGAATTTGGTGCAGATGTAACTCGATGCGACCTGCGAGTTCGACTCACCTTGGCCGAAATGCCAGAAATGCCAGGGGCGCCGCCCTCGCACCCACCCCCGGAGATCTGGGCGTGGCCATGCTTTATACGCTGGGCGGTGTCGTCGCCCGGTGTCGGGCCGGGCCCCGGGGACCATCACAGCGCGAGCCAGCTCGGAACATGACGCAGGAAGACGAGGTCGTTGATTGCCTGCGATGTGGCACTGCGATGTTGAACTGTTCGTGCTGCACTGCGATGTTGCCTGCGATGTTGCACTGCGATGTTGCACTGCGATGTTGCACTGCGATGTTGCACTGCGAGAATGGGCTCTGGCCGTGATTGCCTGCGATGTTGCACTGCGATGTTGAACTGTTCGTGTTGCACTGCGATGTTGCACTGCGATGTTGCACTGCGATGTTGCACTGCGATGTTGCACTGCGAGAATGGGCTCTGGCCGTGATTGCCTGCGATGTTGAGCTGTTCGTTCGCAGCGTGGTATCTCGGGGGCCCTTCTTTGCCCCTCTTCGGGCGCGTTCCTGGGTCTCCTCTCGAGCCTCCGGGAGGCTTCCTCGTCGCGGCATGCCCCAAGGCCACGCGAACAGCGATACTGGTTAACGGCGATGCTGGGAATCTGGTTTTGCGACGCCGAACTCGCTCAGAACAGATTGTAGGAAATCACGAACCACACTCTCCTACGTTTCAAGTGCGCGACTGCATCGAGCGAAAAGGGCACGGCGAACCGTCGGAAAAAACGAGCAACGCTCTCCTACAAGCGGGTCGGCCACGAAACAACCCCGCCTACGATACCGAAACCTACATCGCCGTTACCCACATCGCCATTAGCGCTAGGTCGGGCATGTTCCCCCTACAGGCGGTCTTTGAAGGAAAATGAAAAACAGTCCAAAAATACTAAGAACAAATCAAGAATAGTCAAAACACAAACCGTCCCCAGACTATTTTGCTCTGACTAGGGGGGGCATGCCCGACTTCACATCAGCGTGTCTTTGGATCCCCAGGCTCCCCTCGTGGCCCTGGTCCGGCGCGCACGCCGCGCCAGGGCGGGTCTGGGGGGGCGACGGGGGGCGGCCCCGCCCTCGCCCCCCCACCCCCCCGGGGGGCGCACTCCCCGCCCGCAGGTCCTCTCACGCCCTGTGCAGGGCTCGAGCTTTTAAGCAGCTTTTTGTCGTTCTGGTCTTGTCCTCGTTCTCGTTCTCGTTTGTCGTGCTGGTTCTGTCCTCGCTCTCCTTCGTTCCGATTTTCGCTCCCCCCTCTGGCTGCCGAGCGGGATCGGAACGAAAGCGGGCCACGAAAGCGCCTGAAAATACCGCCCAGCTCGAGCCCTGCTCTCCGTGAGGCCGAGAGGCGGGTGCCCCACTTGGAGCTCCCCGGCTGCGAGGCGAAGCGCTCCACAGGATTGCGAAGAATAGCCACAAGCCTCGCTTGCGGTATCCAGGACAACGAAAAGCGACATGAACATAGAAACTCGGAGGTCCGCGCGGATTTCGTGGATCTGCGCTGGCCCCCCCCTCCCGGAGCGCGCAAAGGGGGCGGCGCCGGAGGCGCCGACGGGCGGACCCAGCGCCGATCCGAGAAAAATCTGCGCGGACGTCCGAATTAGCTTGTGTTTGTGTCGGTTGTTCGTTCCTCTGCGGGCCTCGTCGAAAATATCCAGAAATGGAGGTTAAAGTCCTGGGGCGGGATGCTTTCGGGCACTTGTCCGAAGGCGCGTTTTTCAATGCCGAGAGGGTGGGGCCGATTTTTTGGCACAACGCCGCGCCCGAGTCAACAGGCATCCGTCGGCATTGGAGCAGCGCTGACCCCACGATCACCGAATTCAGAAGTCTTCTGCTTATTGTTAACGAGGCTTGTGGGGTCAGCGCTACTCCAATGCTGACGGATGCCTGTTAATGCGGACGCGGTGCTGTCAAAAATCGGCCCCGCCCTCTCGGCACTGAAGAACGCGCTCTCTGACAAGTGCCTGAAAGCATCGTGCCCCAGGATCTCAACTTCAGCTTCTGGATCTTTCTGACGAGGCTTGTAGTATTAAGTCGGGCCTGTCCCCCTACAGCCCGATTTTGGACGAAAAATTTAGAAATAGTCATAAAATGCCCTGAGATACCCAAAAATTGTCCAAAAATCGTCCCCAAGACTATTGTTTGACTATTTTAGAATATTCTCCTGTAGGGGGACACGCCCGACTTAATTGTAGCATCAGCTGTCGCAGGCGCGGCAGCGCTTCGGGGATGTAGAGGTAGCTCGGCGTGACGTCCCCAACCACGTCGGGCGGGGGCCAGCGTTTGTCCCACTCGAACCACGACCTGTAGTGCGCGGCGCCCTTACGGAACTCCTCGTCGTCGTCGAAGAAGTGAAGCTCCTGCGCTATATGTTGCTCACATCGTATTTAAGGACCACATCCCAGAAATAATCTCGAGCACCTGGAAAAGTATCGAAAGAGTGTCGAGCGAGTACCGCCTCCCAGGGCCCGACGAGTATAAACCCTCCAGCTTCGGTACGTTCTTGGTGCTCGAAACTCTTTCTGGTGATCACGGCGAAAGTAGGTTGGAACGTCATAGCTCCTGCGCGGGTATGCACGAATTGTCCTCCCAAGTGGAAGCCCGCAAGTGGTACCTCAGCGCGCAGGTGCCAGACTTCATCGCCCCCACCACGGCGAAGAAGCTGCGACTGGCCAGCCAGCGCCTGGCAGCAGCATCTCTCTCATCGAGGTCGCAGCCCGCACCGCTGCCGTCCAGCGCAGGCGCGATGGATTGAGCAGATGCGTGACCTGCGCCCATGTCCTTTCCAGAACACGTTTCATGCTGTACGTGCCCAACATGAGTCAAAATGGCTGCGAACGTTTGCTGCTTAAGCCCAGGCAGTCGCGAGTGCAGGGCGGACGCTGACGAGAACTACGACTCCGAAAGCGGTGGCTAGGGGGGAGCAGCACGACTGAGACGGGATCCCCCCCCATCTGGTCAGCGGACACCCACCTGGAGCACTGGGCGCAGATGGTTTAGGGCGTCATCTCTTCCAAACCCCCCGTCTTCCTGTTCGGGGAGGGCTCGTCACTGCTCCTCATTACTATACACCCCCTCCCCCACCCGACCGGCGACAAACCCTGGACCCTGACCACCACCCCCTACCATCCCTTGCAAAAAGCAGTACAACGTGCACTTTGCACCAACGTCTGGATCACGCGTGGACGCGCCGCGATCACTCTGCGTCGGTTCTTGATGGGGACCACGGGGGGTGGGCGGCAGATCGCCTGCCGTGCGCAGTGCCAACGCACCCCATCATCTCTTGCAGAAATCCACACAGCATGCATGTTGCACCAAAATCTGAATCATTCGAAAGCGCACCGCGATCACTTTGCAGTTTGCTTTCTTGGCAGGGACGCGGGGGGGGGCCGGCAGATTGCCCGCTGTGCGCAGTGCCGGCACCCCCCACCATCCTTTGAAGGGGTCCTGGGACACACAAATATATAGACACAAATAACAGGACTCCCCAAATTTCCCCATATTTTCTGGGATGTTGTCTTCCCCCCCCTCCCGTAGTTTCCCATATTTTCTGGGGAATCGACGATTAATTGTGTCTGTGTGTTTTTTGTCCCGCCTGATCCTTGACAAAGAGCATGAAGCGCACGCTGCGGCAAAATCTGGATCACGCGCGGGAATCAAGCGATCACGCTGCCGTGTATTTTTCCGCAGGGACAAAGGGAAGGGGGCCCGCAGATTGCCTGCTGCGCGCAGGCCGATCTAGGGGAACGAAAAGTGGCATAAACAAAAAAACTCGGAGGTCCACGCGGATTTCTCGGATCCGTGCTGGACCTCCCTCCCTGGCGCGCGGAGCGTGCCAGGGGCGGCGCCGGAGGCGCCGCCGGGGGGGAGGGGGGACCCAGCGCGGATCCGAGAAGTCCGCGTGGACCTCCGAGTTTTTTGTTTGTGTCATTGTTCGTTCCCCTAGATGGGCCTGCGCGCAGCAGGCAACACGCGGGCGGCCCTGCAAAAAAACATTGCAGCGTGATCCCCGGTCATGCGCGGGAGCCCCGCGAGTCACTCTGCACTGTTCTTTGGCGGGCATGGCGGGGGGCGCCCTGGCACGTACGGTCGATGGCGGCACCTGCCTGTGATGAAGCCTCGAGTGCTACTTCTGGCAGCGCGCAGAGGGGGGTAGGGGGAGGGGGGGAGGCTTCTTCGAAGGCGGCTGCTTCTCAGAAGGCGCGGGCCTCGTCTGTGGATGTGATGCCTGCGCCTTCTAAGAAGCAGCCTCCTTCCAAGAAGCCCCCCCCCTCCCCCATACCCGCCGCTGCGCGCCGCCGACACCTGCGTGGTGGGAGGGCGGCTGAGAGTGAGCGAGACGGCCGTCTTTCTGGGGGGAAGCTTGAGTTGTCCCCCTACCCCCTGCCCCCTCCCCTGGGCCTGGAGCGAGGGGAGGCGGAGGTGGCAGAGCTCAGGACGGCCCAGACATGCCCACATCTTCCCCAGGATGGCCTTCGATGGGGTTCCCAATAGGGCCAAGAAGCGTGTGGGATGTGTGCAGAAATTGGGCGGGGCCGCCATGCGAACGCCGCCACTGCGGCCTTCGGTGGGGTTCCTCCCTATTGCCCGAAAGGGGCCACGAAACGTGTAAGGGTATGCTGAAAAGGGGCGGGAACGACATGCGAACGCAACCACTGGGGGCCTTCGGTGGAGCTCCCTATTGGGCTACGAAGCGTGGGAGGGACGGGCCGACATGGGTCGGGGGCGCCATGCGAACGCAGCCACTGGGGCCTTCGGTGGAGCTCCCTATGGGGCCGCGAAGCGTGTGCGAGGTGTGCCGAAATGGGGCTGGGCCGCCATGCGAACGCAGCCACTGAGACCTTCGGCGGGGCTCCTCATAAGGGCCAAGAAACGTGCGAGATGTGTGCCGCAATTGGTGGGCGGGGCGCCATGCGAACGCAGCCACCGAGGGTTTCGGTGGGGTTCCTCCCTATGGCCCTGTGGGGCCACGAAACGTGTGAGGGGTGTGCTGAAATGGGGCGGGGACGCCATGCGAATGCAGCAACGGGGGGGCTTCGGTGGAGCTCCCTACGAAACAAATGAGGAGTGTGTCGAGATGGGGCCGGGCCACCATGCGAACGCAGCCACGGGGGCCTTCGGCCACGGAACGTGTGAGGGGTGTTTCCACAGCTTCTCCTCTTCCCTCCTCCTCCTCCTCCTCCTCCTCCTCCCCCTCCTCCTCCTCCGCCTCCTCCTCCTCCTCCTCCTCCTCCTCTTCCTCCTCCTCCTCCTCCCCCTCCTCCTCCTCCTCCTCCTCCTCCTCCTCCTCCTCCTCCTACTTCCGTTCATCCTCATCCTCCTCCCTCTTCCTGATAATCGTTGCGCCGCCATTCTGTCTCCAGCTCGTCACCTCGTTTCCCTGCTGATGATTATTTTCCCCTCCTCAGCCTCACGTCACTGGACACGTCACGTAGCAGACAAAAGTGGATCTTCATGACAGAACTCATCAGCAACGGAAAATACATTCCTGAATCGTTTCGTCGGCTGGTCGGCAAGTTCATCAGGGGTGCTCATGTTTGTTCACTCGTCGGGACCGCTCTGACTCCGACAGCGCAGGCTTTGATGTTTGATTCCTGAAGTATTTGCGCCCAAGGTCTCTGACTCACGGCATGCTTATCCACTTGTTCCTCTTTTCCCGACGTCTCGCCTGCGCCTCGTTCCTGGATGCGCTGGTTGGCATACTTTTTTTTGTTCGGCGGCCCGCAAGGAAAAGTCCAGAGGGCGTGTCAGACGGCAATGGGGCGCAATGCCAGATAATTAGTGAAGGCCAGGCCACGACTGGAGGGAGCCGCCAAGAGGGCGCCAACCCACACTCAACATGCAGAGCAGGACGCTGCGAGACCAGGCCAGAACATTGACCGACTGTCCTAACAACAGCCGACCGGAACGGCAAGGGCAGACACTGCCCAAAACAAATTCGGCAGGAAAAGGAGGCGCAAAGCCAGATCTGGTTGGCATACGCGAAGTACCAATAATGTTGCGAGTTGTAATCACCTGCAGCTTTAACGAGAGCCACCCTTGCCCGACGCCGCCTTCGTCGCGCCAAGATCAGGATGCAGAGAGAGAGAGAGGGAGAGAGAGTTTTATGCGTTTTGCTCATGGCATCGCCCGCGACCGAGGGAGACACTCACCCAGCACCGCATCTGGACGGCTTCGTGCTAAGTGAGGCCTTAAACGCCGGGACGAACAGATAGCACTCGCAAAAGTGTCCCGTGAGATGCACTATCTACCTGATCATCGTTGATCTCTACCTGGTCATCGCTAGTCTTGCAAGTGTGTGCTGTCTGGGTTGTGCCGGTGCGGTGAGTTGGGACCTCGTCGGTGCTGTCTCCGTCCGCTCCATCGGTGCCTGCGATCTGTTCGCCCTGGCGTATAGTGAGTGGAACGACTCCCACCCTCGCCTCCCTCCCGGGACCCTGCCCTGGAAACCTGCAGGGCCTCCCAGGTGGCCTCCGAGACTCCCCGACAAAAGGCACTTCCCGATCGGTGGCCTCCCCCGGGGGTCGACACCATCGGCGACTGCGCACCAGGCGGCCGTGGCCCCGGCCGCGCTCGGTGGCACTGCCTGGGGTAGGGGCGGGATGGGGCCGCAGAGATCCCAGGGATCCGATGCCCGGATCGTTTCTTGATGCAGCCGGCGTGCTACCCAGAGCCGGTGAGGGCATCGGACAAGGAAGCCTCGGATCAGGAGTCCAGCGCCTGGGAGCCAGTGGAACTCCGACTGGGGCTTGGCCGCGGACATCACCACCGCCCTGGCCAGCTGTGTGGGACCGAAGGGTCAGGTCTGCAGACACCCAGGAAGGGGCGTCAAGGGGTGCAACCACTCCGCGCGCTTCAACCGCGAGCTTTAATCGCCCCCCTTGGTGCACTTCCCTGACGCCACCCTTGATGCCCCCCCTGGACGCCCCCCCATAATGCACCCTTTGACGTCCTCGTTTTGGTGGTTCTGCAGAGGAGAGCGCTCTCTGACTCTCAGCCCTACTCATCAGATAAGGAATCCTCCAGGGTCTGGAGCCTCCTGGGCCCATTCGAGAGCTCTTGGGCCATCTTGGGGCCTCCTGGGCCTCTCTCGGGCCGTCTCGGAGCTATTTTGAGCCGTCTTGGGGGCATCTTCGGCCATCTTGGGGCCCTTTGGGGCCGTCGTGAGACCTCCTGGGCCGAGAAAGCCGCCAACGTGGCCCCGGAGGGCGTGTTAGACCATTGCCCCTAGCCGCCTCCCCGCGCCTGGACCCCGCCCCATTGGGGCTAAAGCCCTGTGCAGAACTTCCCTCGCCAGCGCTCTTTTCGTCATGCTCGTCTGTTGTCTGGGAAGTTGTTGAATGTTTTCTAGGGCCGCCCATCGCCCCGCCGCAAGCGTCGTTAAAGATCGTCCCCCTGAAAGTGCTCTCCAGCTCACTTTTCGGCCTTCGACCGGCCAAGATGACCTCCAAGACGGCTTCCAGGGCAGCCCAGACGACACCACAACGGCCAGAGATGGCCCAAGACGGCTCAAGAGGCTCCCAAGACGGCCTCAAGACAGCTAAAGAAGCCCCCTAAGACAGCCCAAGAGAGCTCCAAGAGGCCCTGCACGAGAGCCCGAGGATGCAAAAACCATCGATGTCCCGTAGATTCTGAAGGATTTTGAAGTTCTCGCCTGTTTGGATTTCCGACCGCCCAAGACGGCCCAAGAGACCTCCAAGAGGCCTCCAAGATATTTCCTAGACAATCCAAGAGGCCCCCAAGAGGGCCCCAAGTCGGCCCACGAGGACAAAGGGCCTCCCAAGAGGGCCCCAAGACGGCCCTGAAGCACTCAAAGAGGGCACCACGATGGCCCAGAATGGCCCCCAAGACGGCATCCGAAGCCGTCAGACGGGCCAAGAGTTCCCTAAGACGGACCAAGAAAACCCCAAGAGGCCCCCAAGACTCCCCTGGAGGCCCCCAAGAGGTCCCAAGAGGCCCAAAGCGGCCCTGAGGCCTCAAGGAGGCCCCAGGAGAGCCCCAAGAAGCCTCCTCCTCATCCTCCTGGTCCTCATTTTCTCATATTCATTATCCTCCTCCTCCTCCTCCTCCTCCTCCTCCTCCTCCTCCTCCTCCTCCTCCTCCTCATCATCATCATCATCATCATCATCATCATCATCATCATCATCATCATCATCATCATCATCATCATCATCCTCTCCTCCTCCTCCTCCTTCTCCTCCTCCTCCTCCTCCTCCTCCTCCTCCTCTGCCTTCTCCGCCTCCTCCTCCGCCTCCTCGTCCTCCTCCTCCTCCGCCTCCTCCTCCTCCTCGTCCTCCCTCCTCTTCCTCATCCTCCGCCTCTTCCTTCTCGTCCTCCTCCTCCTCCTCCTCCTCTTCCTCCTCGTCCTCCTCCTCCGCCTCCTCCTCCTCCTCGTCCCTCTTCCTCCTCCTCGTCCCCCTCTTCCTCTTCGTCCTCATCCTCCTCCTCCTCCTTGTCGTCCTCCTCCTCCTCCTCCTCCTCCTCCTCCTCCTCCTCCTCCTCCTCCTCCTCCTCCTCCCTACCAGGCGGACGGACGGACGGACGAACGAACGAACGCGGGAGTCGTGCGCGCTGCGCGAGGGAGCCCGCGCGTGCCCATTAGGCCGTGGCATAGAGGCCGTGGACCCACAAATGTGATACGTAAGCAGGTTCATGTGAAGGCCACCACCCACTGCTCCCTGCCGCCGATGACCATCGTAAGTCGTCTGTGTTGCTTTGCTCGCGCCGTCTCGGCATGGTCGCTGCCCGGATCTGGTCCCGCTCGGCGCCGGCGCCGCAGCGTTGCCCGCCCCAGGTGTGTAAATATTTCCGGATGCCGTCTTCGCATCTTTTTGGTTGCCCTCCGTGTTGCCTGCGTCCTCGCTGTCGAGTATTGAGATGTGGGTTCCGATTCCGCACTCTCTGCGTGCAGCGCGGCGGCGCGTGGTGAGCCACAGCATTCGCCCATCGCCAGACCATGTAGAGCGATGGCTGTGTAGTACATCCGGTATGCCATTCTTGAGCATCAGTGCTGCTGCTCCCCGCGCGCTCCTGCGCATGAAATGGGACCAAAACTACCGCGCGGACGAGAACGAGGTCGAGTTCACGACCCGTCCCAATTCAGACCACTCGTCGGAACGCGCTGCTCCTACACTCGGCCTCCTTCCTGCTGCGCTGTACGCTACGACGGATCGGGGAAGCCACCCCGACGCATGAGGCCAGTGCAGCCTGAATTGGCGACAGAGCGCGCCGATATTGCATGAGAGCGGGACCCGTCGCTCGTCCACGCACCTTCATCCATCTTAGCGTTCCCTCGATCCTCCTCGTCCTCTGGCTCCTCTTCCCCCTCAAAGATGAGGACAGGGAGAAGGAGAGAGAGAAGGAGGGCCAAGCCCCGGCTCGGGGCACCCTGCCGTCCAGCATCCTCTCCGCGGCCCAGCCGTTGTGGTTGCCGGCCAGGGCGTAGAACTCTGGGGGGCGCAGCTCCTCTCTGTGGACCTCGGCGCGCCGTCTGCGCGGGGCGCACTTGGCGGGTGCCAGAAAACCCTGAACACAAAAATGTTGCCAGCCATTGGGGGCGCATGTTTTCGTTCCAGACGCGCACATCCCCCAATGATCATTCGGCTCAAGAGG